TCACTGCAGGTTTGAATAGTCCTTAAAATACCTGACTTCAACATGCCAACTAAAATGTCTCCAAAAGTTACTGAAGTGAGCTACAACTCTTGCACAATTCTCTGGAATAATAGTTATTCTTAAAAAAACCACACAATTTTTTTTAATCTCAGAAAAATAGAGTAAAGAAACACATGTGTATGTCATGAAATCTAGTCCTCTACTCACAAAGAACTGACCAAAAGTGAAGAAACCGGCTCAGTGTAGTCTCCATCTGGTTAACATCAGACATTGGGTAAGCAAGTAATGTCAGCTGAAGAATATGCACATGAATATTTCTGTCAAAATTAAACCATATAAAATATATTGCTTGTTCCAAATTATTCACATACCACTATGTATATGTGTTGTCCCTCTGATAGACAATAAATTCCTTGAGAATAAGAAATTTTTTTTGGTCTTTGTATTCCCTGCATCCAGCATCCAGCATAGTGCTTGCAGGGCACACTGTGTTTAATAAATATTTGATTGATGTAAGATTAAAAAAAAAAAAGAAGCAGTTGTATAGTAAGACACAGAGATACCAAGTGTCATGCCAGTATCCCCATAATACTAAACAATTTAGATCAAGGTTTACAGTGCATCCTTTTATGGAGGATTTATGGGACACCATGCAAAAGAATCTCAGAGTATAAGTAAGCAATGGATGAATGGTGATCTGTACCACTAAAGGGAAAATCCAAATCAATAGAGCCATGGATCTGTCAAAGGAGTAAATGTCATAAAACAAAACCTATATCTGCAGAAACACTTTTTATTTTTCTAAAATAAGTAGATTCCTGCTCAAATGACTACCAATATGTTTCACCCTAACATCTTTTCCTAAAATTTCTCTATCTAATTTCTTAATATATAAATCTAAAAACAAATTAAAATATGCAAGGAGAATTGTGGCAGTTGAAAAAGAAACAAAAGTACATACAAAAAACATGCTGAACTTCATCAACAGCACAGTTCCAAAATGTATAAGAAGCTGTTGCTTTACCATACAGACCTCTCAAAAGCAATGGATCACATATATCATAAAGTTTTATGTTTCTAATAGTTTGATAAAACACTAGGGAAGTGAGCTCTCTTAACTTCAAATATAACATTAAAAGAGGTTAGTTACATACAAAAACGAGGCACACCACTGTCAATAACTCACTCCCAGAAAGATGACATTGAAACTATTTTTACAGTAGTGGTGCTAGGCTGAAGGAAGACATTCAAGATGTGAAAAGGAGACTTTAGTACAATTTGCAGCACGATGTTTACCTAAGCAAGGAAAACTTAGCCTCTTCACTACCCCCACATATATAGTTATCACCAGGAAATCATCTGTTTTTTAAGCAGTGATTTTTTTCTCTGTTAAATAAAGAGGCAGATGTACAATGTGACACTAATTCACCTGAGATAGCTGAAATGACAATTGTCGAGAAAACAGTTTCAAACACTTTCAGTATATTAGTCTTTTTTCATACATATAAATGAAAAATTCAGGTAAGGTAAACAAGATTTGAGAAGAAATTTGAGAAATCACAACTGAGTTATGGGTTTCCTACAGTTGCTAGGTTAGGCAGTTGCTAGAGCTTTTCATGTCAGTTAATGTAGAGCATTACCTAAAGAAAAATAAACACAATTCTTCAGAGTCAGGAGTAATCAGAGAAGTCACACCTTTGCAGTTCATGAAATGAGACTCATCAGTACACAAATGATAATTTTCTGCAAAGTTTTGTTTGAGGTTTTTATTTTTAATTCCTGCCTTATTCCAAAAAGAATTAGAGGCATGACTTATAAGCATGTGGTTTTCCTCATATAATCAAAAAAAAGTATTACTGCGTAGTGTTTAACTACAGCAGAAGTCAGCACTCTCAGACCAAAGTAGGGAAGAGAAACCAAAATTCCTATTAAATAAGCTTCAAAGGGTATGAACGTTTTTCAAAAGAATTGTGAAATATCAATGATCACATTTTCAAAAATGTTCCAAATCATTATAAGTGCAAGTTAAAACAACTCTAAAGTTTCACCAAATGCCCAACAAATTTAAAAAAATTAAAAAACAGACAAACAGGGGCTTTGGGAAGACAGACTAACTAATACACTGTCTGTAGAACTGTAAAGTTCTACAATCCAACGGTATGGGGGGGAAAGAGACAGAGAAAAAGGAATTACGAAAAAAAATTTTTTATAAACTGTTCATTATCCTTTGCAGCAATCACACTGCTGGGTATGTACACTACAGATGTCAACCCCAGAAAGAAAGGCCCCACATATAACAAAAAGCAAAATATTCTAGCAAAAACCTGGAAACAAAGCGAGTGCCCACTAACAGGGGAAAGGATGAACAAACTATAGCTATGAATTTAGTAAAATATTAGCACGAAGTAAGAAATAACAAATATAAGGAATTCAGAGAAAGAAACATGGGAGGCTTTGTATGAACTAATGAGGAGTGAAGTAAGGAGAAATGGAAGAACAATATACACAGTGAGTAAAATATTGTAAATGAAAAGGACACTAAAAAAGAAGCTAAATTCTGGACAATTGTAATAACAAATCTCAAAACTAAAGAACAGTGAATGAAACAGTTCTTTGAGTACAATGAAAAGTAGACTACCAGGATTCAGATCCTGCCTGTGTGAATCTGGCCAGGTAAATAATGTCTCTGTGCTTCTATCTCCTTACTTGTGAAATGAAGGTGTTAGACTTAGTGCCCACAAGATCCCCTTAGCTCTAAGTCTATGATCTTATGACTATGAGGGCATCATGTTACACACACTCTAGAAATAGTCATGACATTCATTGTTTTTGCTTAAATATATTTTGCTGTTTAATGAGGGGAAGGGATGGGACATCTTATACCTGCAAATGAATGAGACATAAGAACAAAAATCATCAATAAAACAATGAAGTGTTACTATTAAAAAGTTAAAAAGGATAAGGACTAGACCTGTAATTTTATTCATGTGGAACTCCTGGATAAAGAAACTTCTTCTTCCAATACAATTGAACACCTCACTGAATCTTGTGTTGTTAAAGAGTCAATATGGGAGAGACAGAATGAGAACCCAGGCCATTTTGGCTCTGAGGCCAGCTCCCTCTCCACTAAGCCATCATGCCACCTCCAAACTTCTCATTTAGAAGTTACAAACACTTCTGAATTATCTCAAAGAAATAAGAAATAATGATTACATGAAGGAGGTTACTGGTTGTGTGAAATTCCCACGATATTAAATTCACTTCTGCAATTTACAAATGACAAAAAAGCTAAAAAGGACAGTTAATACTCTGTATAGCAAAGCCAGGATCTCAAAAGCTGTTGAGACAGTATAACCCTAGACTGAATCTAGTAAGATCAAATTTAATAAGGAAAAATGTAACATGTTACAATTGGTTTAAAAAAAAATAAACTTCACAAATACAAGATAGGAAAGGCAGTTAATCTAAAAATGATTTGGGAAATGGGATGTGTCTTAGTGGATTGCAAGTTCAACAATGGACAATGAGATATGGTAGCCAAAAAAACCAATGAAACTTTTGTATATGTTCTGTAACTTCTCCTCCACCTCCACCCCACCCCCAAAAAGGCATAACTTTGAAAAATAAGGAGCTAAAAGTCTGGTACAACTACAACCCAGCCAGGCACGATCTGGAATTCTTATGTTCTGTTCAATAAAGAAGAAAATATTAATATTCTGTCCATTGTCCAGAGGCAGGCAACCAGAAGGGTAAAAGGATCCTGAGCCCATACAATAGAAGGTTAAGTGGAAGAAATTAGGGATATTTAATGTGAAAAAAAGAAAACTAGAGGTGACATGATACTGTCTTCAAGTCATGTGAAAGAGGGATAAGAATTGTTCTATTTAGTACACAAAGAAGAACTAAGTACAATGTAAAGAAACCATAAAGAGGCAATTTTTTACTATCAGGAAAACCCCCCTAAGGATTAGCAGTATTCCAAAGCACTATTCTTCAAACAGAGAAGGCAGGATCACCATTTTTCAGGTATATTGTAATTACAATCTTTTTTCAGGTGTGAGTTCAACTATATGACTACCAAATCCCTTCCAATTCTGAAATTCTATGATTTGTGGTTTTCAATTAAGCCTACGATCAGGCCTGTTCAAGAAAGGACATAATCAAATAATCCTTAACGGGCCATAAAGTGAAGTGTTATAATTTGCTACAGTTTTTCTTTTTCTTTTTTTTGCCTGGAACTATGATTTCACTGCTGTAGGGCGCTTTCTAGTGAGGAAATTCCTTCTACCGAAGTAAGCCACAAGCAACAAAATATTCTTAGAGAGTTGCCTAGGGCACTGAAAAGGCAAGGACTTGTCCAGGAACATGCAACCACTATGCAATAGGTGCTCTATCTACTACAACATGCTGCCTTTCATTTTTCTATTTATAGGATCATTCTCATCAGTAATACCTTCTTAAGAAGAAATTAAAAGGAAAGGAATAAACCCAAGAAAAAATGAGTTATTTATGTACACAAGAAAAAGAGCTCTAACACAAGGAGCTGAAAACATACATTATTAAGCAGGGTCACTTTTAAATAATCTTTTTTTAAAATAAAATATAAGAAACCACTATAAGAACTAATAATCAGCAACTACTGCAAAATGGTCAGATTTTTCTTTTTATGTTTAGAGTAGCCTTTTCTTGGCCAAAATCTATAAAGTAAGATTATGAAAAGAGCTTCAAACAAGAGATATAAAAATAAAGATAAACTTAGAAAGATAAACTTTTTATTCCTAAAACCCTGTTCCCTTACTTACCATAACAGAATGTTTTAGTATTAGCCTTACATATAATTTTACTGACTCTAAGAAGTTAAGTAAAGCTATACATTTTTACTATACTTTAAATTAAGATTCCCATTTAGACTCAAATTCATTCTGAGTAAAAAAATTTAAAAACAAACAGTGCCTTTACTTGCTCCTACATTTATCACACAGCTTATTTGTAGCACTTACAGGTATGTAATAGATGCCCATTTTAGGGGTTTCATTGGCTGTCAGAAGCATTCCTAAAAAAAAAATATACAAAACAACACAGTAAACAGATAGCAAAAGAAAATCATTTTTTCATGTTTAAACATATGAAGATTTTAAAAATGGTCTCTAATACCACGCAAAATTATACCATGGGAAAAAAATTAAACCAAGAAAAAGATTTACTCTGTGTCCTTGAACAATTAATATGATTTTTCTGGGCCTCAGCTTCCTCATCTATAAAAGAGGAAACCAGTTTAAACAAAATCTCTAAAATTCCTTCCAAAGTCTACATAAAGCCTGAAAAATACTTAAAAGAAACATATTTCAAAATTCAGGGACAAATGAAAAGGAGCTTCAATGCATTCTCTCTCACTACAACAAACGACAGGGTCTTTTTGTGGTGACAAAGAACTGGAAACTGAGGAGGTGCCCACTAACTGGGAACAGCTAAACAAATTACGGCTCACGAATGGGATGGAATATTATTATACTATAAGAAATGATAAAGGGCATGGGCTTCATAAAAACTAAGACTAGTATGAACTGAGGATACAAAGTGAAGCGAGCAGAACCAGAAGAACAATTTATATGATAACAATTTTGTGAAGACAAACAATTTTGAAAGATTTAGAAACAATTATCAACACAATGACCAATAACAAATCACAACTCCAGAGGACTCAGTAAAAATAGGCAACCCATGTCATAAAACAAAAGTGACAGTTTCAAGAGTGCAGATGGAGACTTTTGAGGAATATGGATTTGTTTTGATTGAGTATACATGTCTGTAAGAGGTATTTTGCTTTTTCCTACTTTCTCAACTGAGAGGAAGAGAAGGTAAGAGAGAAAATATGGAGCCAAATTGAATTTTTCAAAAATACAAAACAATAAATGGAGGACAGAATACTTTTCCTGACCATCAGCCAGTGTAAACTCTTTTCCACAAAATGTCAAGGAAGAGCTCCATATCTTTGATCCAAGATTCATAAATAAGCTGAAGATCACACTATTAATGGTGACTAAATTCAGAGATTCAGAGATATAAGGCTGAAAGGGATCTTGAGGATCACCTAGTCCAATCACCACACAGCTGAGGAAACTGAGTCCCAGAGTAGGTAAATGACATGCCTATCACAAAATCAATAAGTAGCAAACTTGGCATTTGAATCAATCTATAAACATTTATTAAACACCTATCACTGTGCTAAGGGATACAAATATAATAAATGAAACAATCTCTAATTTAAGAACTGTACATTCCAATGTGAGAGACAACAAAAATATATGTAACTATATACAGAATGAATACAGAAAGAATAAAGAGGAATATAAAGTTGTTAAATATAAGATCATTTAAGAGGAAGGGCACTAGCAGTTGAAGTGATTAGGAAAGGCTGCCTGTAAAAGCAAGTAGTGTATAAGCTGTGACAAAGGAAAAGGATTCTATGAGGGAATGATGAGAAGGGGGAAGTCCTCCAGAAAGAAGGACAGCCAGTGCAAAGGCATGGTAAGAGGAGATGGAGTGCTATATATGAGAAACAGATAAAAGGATGGGTTGGCTGGATCACAAGTAGAGTGGGAACGAGAGTAATGTCCAATAAGGCTGGAAAGACAGGTTGAGGCAAGGTTGGTAAGGCCTTTAAAAACTAAACAGCATTTATATTTGATTCTAGAAGAAGAAAAAAGTCAATAGTATTTTTTAATGTTTTTGAATTTAAACACCAAAAAAATTTTCTATATAAAGAATGTTGTATTTGAGACCTTGAGTATCCATTCCCTACCACTTTTTTAAAAGTATGTAATAAATTCTGCACATTACTTTCACAAGTTCTGTGCTTGCCTATGTTTCCCTCTGAACTTTCCTGTTCTCTTCTGTGCATTTGCTAAAAGTTTCAATGGCTCTCTTTTTTGGCATCAGTATTTCTAACTCTACCTCCTCCTCCTCTGCTAAATAAAAAGCTAAAAAAGTAAAACAAAAACCTGGTAACAAATAAGTAGTCAAACAAAATAAATCCACACAGTGGCTATGTCCAAAAATGCATGACTCTTTCTGACCTTTAATCCATCACTATGGTCAAGAAGTAGGTAAAATGTTTCATCACAAGTCCTCAGGAGACCTGGTTGGTCACTGCACTGATAAGAGTTGTTTAGTTTTTTCAAACTAAAGTGTTTTCATTTTTAGTTCTTGTCCTTGTAAGAAACTGTTCTGTGTCTCCTCACTTTGCATCAATTCATACAATTCAGGATTTCTGCAATCATCTTTTCTATAATTTCTTATAGCACAGTAATATTCCATTACACTCATATACCACAATATCTTCTGATTAATGGGTACCCTCTTTAGATTCTATTTCTTTTCATTTTTTATTTTGATTCTAGGGGTTTTTTTTAGATTTTTTTCTTCTTTTAAATTTAGATTCTAGTTCTTTTTTTTTCCCTTTAATCTCCAGTTCAGGATCAGGAAGTTTGGTTTGCTAAGGACTGTTCTCTCCAAGGTATTACACTTCGTCTTGACAACCTTCCATCCCCTGTTGATTTTCATACATTTATATACCAAACAGGTTTATTGTTTTTGTTGCTGTTGTTGGTTTTTTTGGTGGGTGCACACCCACCCATGTGTACATGCATATGTGTGTGCTCAATCCTCCTTTGTCCAGTTCTGTATGCTCTCCTCACCCCTTCTTGTCCATGCTTGTATATATTCTTATTCTCATATACTCACCTCTGTATAATAAATTATAATTGATTATATGTTTTTACCTTTTGGAATATTGCATTCCAAGATTTCTCATTTAAAGTATAAGCTACCAGGCCTTATATGATCATTGGCACATGAGCTGCTTCTTCCTGGCTGCTTGCAGTATTTTTAATTTGATCGAGATTTTGGCTGTGAAGTTTCTAGGACTTTTCTTTAAGAATACCTTTCAGGAAGTAATCAGTGGATGGATAGATAGATAGATAGATAGACAGACAGACGGACGGACGGACGGGGTTTTTTTTTTTAACTTTGCCCTCTGGTTCTCATGGATCTAGACAGTTTTCATTTATAAATTCTTGTGCTGGGGTTTACTGAGTACAGGAATGACAGAAACACTCAAGTGCAGATGTATACAAGGAAGATTTCTTTGGCAGCAGCACGTAGAATGGACTAGAGCAGGGAGACTAGAGTGGAGGATGTTGCAGTAATCTAGGCAAGAGATGATAAAGGTATGAAGTAAGGAGGTAGCTCTGTGAGGAGAGAGAAGGATATGGCAGAGGTAGAAATGGCAAGATTGGAAAACCGACTGGATACACGGAATGAAGAATTGAGGATAATACCAACGTTGACTTCAGGCAGTCTAACTCCAAATTCCATGTTCATTCCACAGTTCTCATGCCACTCCAATCCATCCTCCACTCAGCCAGGATCCTCCTTGATCCAGGATCAAGGGATCTTGCTAAACTGCGACACCCTATTAGCTTTAGGATCAAATATAAAATCCTCTCTTTCGCTTTTAAAGCCTCTCACAGCCTGACTCCTTCCTACTTTCCCAGTCTTCTTACACTTTATTCCCCTCCACATGTTCTTTAATTCAATAACATTGGCTTTCTCACCATTCCTTACATGTGTCCCATGGCTGGAATGCTCTCCCTCCTCACTTCTGCCTCCAGGCTTCCTTCCAGACTCAGTTTTAAATCCCACTTTCTGTTAAAGGCTTTTCCTGGTACCCCTGTTCTCTCCTTCCTCCACAATTAGTGTTTTCCCTTGGGGACCACCTCCCATTTACACTGTACATATCGTATATGTACAGTTTTTTACATGTTGTCTTCCCCATTAAAATGTGAACTCCTGAGAGCAAGAACTCTGTTTTTGCTTTTCTTTGTATGTCTAGTATTTAGCACAGTACCTAGCACATAAGAAGCACTTAGTAAATGTTTGTTGAATGGACTATGTAGATACGTATCATAGAAAAGAGTGCTACCGAACCTAACAGCATTTGACAACACTATGCACTCATTGATAGTTGAATCCTACTGCAAATGTTTTTAAGTGATAGCAGTAGTGGGATAAACCAGGAGATTTGCCTGTAAATCAGATGATCAAGACTACTAGCAAAACACAGGGTTATCAGCAATTTTTCTGTCAATCTCACTGACAAGACTCTACATTGACTAGATGAATCTCTCAAGCCTTTCTTCCTATCTGTTCTCTCATGCTAACTTTTATATAACACAGAAGACATGGACACTTGTATAACAATCCCACATTATGCAAAAAGCTCATTTACCCCCCTTTGCTTTAGAAAGAGCTCTCTTGTCAAAGTCTCTTAAGTCAGTTATGGTACAGCAACAATACCTGCTGCCTGACACCCTGCCTCATAACCCTATCTCTAGAGAGACGTGCTCTTGGTACAATTTTAAGTAGCAGCAGAAAATTCTGGAAACAGTTTTATATTCCAAGGTGGTCTTACATCTGAACTCCTCTCCTGTACCCATGATTACTGAAGTTAAAGCTAAAGGGATCTTTGCCATCTAACCAAACTCCTCAATCCAGAGAGGTGCAGTGGACTAGGAAAGAGAGTCAGAATTTGAATCCTGACATATCCCTCATGTCATGTTTTGTATTACAAATTTTGAGCCAGAATTTGAACCCAGGTTCTGACACAACTCCTCCATTTATCATGTTTTCATTACAATTTTTATATCATAGTTATTTGTATATGTCTCTTCTCTCTATGTTATGCTATAAACCTGATGAAAGCAGGAAACATACCTTGTTTATTTTTTATCTCCCTAGACAACTAGGACAATTGCTAGGCAAACAGTCAGTGTTTAATAAATGTTTGCTGAATTTGCTGAATCAAATGAAAGTTACATTATTCTCTTTTTATCTGATCTACTTACAGAGCATGGGAGAGAGAAAATAAAAGGAAGACAATTACATTTAAAGTACCAGAACATATATCTTTAGCAATAAATACACTCACATATATGGACAACTAACTGGTAGCTTGTATATATATTTTAAAATAAATTATTTTGGCCATCAGCT